ACATTATCTTTTCCGTGAGAATTTATCGTAATAGATACGGATCTGAATAAGCGACTGGAACACGGCTGTTTGTCAAAAGCATACGATTTCGAACTCGCGTAAATGTACATTTGCTAAATGCGATAGCATGAACGCTCTTCGAAAACATATGTTCGAAAGTGCTAAATGCTGCATTTTAAATGCAGCAAAAACGCTGCATTACTTGTTTAACTATTCTTTGCCCAATAATATAGTTGAATGTTTTTTATTTTTTCTCAGTATACACACTTTGTTTTCTTAAAAAGGTATTTTATCTTATCTTATTTCATTTCATAACGAATACACTATAAAAAAGCAAATTTTGTTTAAGAGAAAATGTGATATTTTATATTTCTCCCCCATATGGGAATTCATTTCTTCCCGTTTTTCTTCTCATTCTACTGAGCTAAGGCAGTATCAAATCGAGCTGTCACAACTGATAGATACCACCTTATTATTGCATCATGTGCAAATCGTGCTATATAAGCACATGTTATACGACAATTCGGTCATTAATCCATTTTTGGTGAAGGGGAAACATCACGGTGAGTGCAGTGCTTGGAAAAGACAATTGGCCGGTACCCGCAACTTGCCGAAGCGCCACCTTATCTCAGTGTAGTGGACAAGACAATTGGCCGGATGCATTAGATTTGACTGGTGTTTCTAGTGCATTTTGGACAAGATAATTGGCCGGCGATATCGTATCGGTGTTGCCACCTTCACCACAATATGGAAATATTCCTTTCGTTCCAGGATTTTCTTCACGTAACTTCATTTTAAAACTATACTGAGAGCTTCTGGAACCAACTATTAATGTTCGACTGACGGCGTTAAATCATTATTTCGTTTTATCTGTGCTTTGTTACTGCTTTTACTAAATAAATCCGTAAAACCCAACCAGAAATCGGTTTAATCATTTCTACACTGGCGTCCAACTTAGTGGCCGAATTAATACGCGATCTTTAAATAGTGCATGCAACCAGTGGGACGAAGTTCTTGACTAGGAGGGATGTCGACAATAACAACAGAACAATTTGAGCGATTGATGCAGGCGGTGACGACAGTCAACATTCGAATTGGGTCGTTTAGCAACTGAACTGCACGCTACAGCGGGGAACGTAATACGTAAAAGGTGGAAGAATTTATCGCGGCGGTGTCAACGTTTAAAGTGGTGGAGAAGATTAGCGATGCGGATGCCATCGATGGTATGCCAATGCTGCTGGAAGGTGATGCCTCTGAATGGTGGCGGGGTGTGAAGACAAATGCGGCAACCTTTTGTGATGTGGTACGAATGCTGCGGGAGGCTTTCTCGCCTCCAAGGCCTGCATGGCGCATTTATGCAGACATCTGCAAGGGAAAGTAGCAAAAACATGAAGCGACTGGCAATTTTATTCGCAAGAAGAGAGCACTCTCGTTCAGCTGGCCAGTCCACCAAAAGAAAGCTAGCAGATCGACATACTGGTTGGCATGCTGCATGTACAAGTGCGTGACAAAGTGGCGCGTCATAATATTGCCACATTTGATTACCTTCTGCGAGATGCTCGGGAAGCGGAGTATGCTTTAAGCGAGCGTAGCGTAACAGTGAACACGAAAGCGGAGTCGATTAGTGGTCTAGCACGTTGTGCATTCTGTAAAAAGGGCCACTCGGCGGAGTATTGCTACAAGCGCATTAAAGAGGAAACGCAAAGACAAAATGCTGCTGCGGCTGCTGAGGCTGTTGCTCAAGCAACGCAAGCTAAACCAAAGCTTGCCTGTTACGGCTGTAATGCGCCCGGTTATGTCCGCGCGAATTGTCCATCGTGCCGTGTGAAAAGCAAGCCTGAAGCAACCGTTGTTAATTTTAACACAATCTCGTCCAACAATATGGGGAGTAATATACCGATTGCGAACGTCCAGCTGTTTGGAGCTCCTGGCCAAGGTTTTTTGGACACGGGTGCGCACACGAGTGTTGCTACTAGCGCGAATTTGAAGCGAATTATGGACTTTCACGGCTGTAAGTATAAAACAGTCAAGTGCGAAATTTCGCTGGCAGACGGAACCACATCTTCGCAAGAGTGTCTGTCGACTGTCTGAAAAATATTATTTGGAGGAAGATGTTTAAACATTCGTTTCATAATACTACCGGAGGCTACCAACAATCGCACATTGCTGGGTACAGACTTTTTGGAGGAGGTTGGAGTCGTGCTAAATATGGGTCAAAAGTTTTGGTATTATGAAAACTGCCCTAACGTTCATTTTGACTTCGCCGAAGCACTGCTGCTAAGCCACAATGTAATAGATAGCGTCAAGGTGTGCAAACGTAGCCCGTTCGATGTTATGCAGAGCGAATCGAAGCGATACCATAGCGAAGTGTACATGTCGGATTTCGAAAGTTATGGACCAGAGCTGGAAGATGGCGACTATTCGCCGCACTCCATCCAAGCGATCTTCAAAGATGCGTTGCAACCAGACGAAACAACCCCTGACCGTACGACCACGCGAGAACTATTTACAGGCGTAGTGTACGGAGGGAACACCAGCGATGACGGATTCACCCCGTTAAACTCGTTGGACCTGAAAATCTTAAAGACTACAGATGCAGCGAGTTTGTTAGAAGAAGAAAAGCTGGAACTAGACCGCCTCCTATGTAAGTATGAAGAAGTGTTTGGTGAAATATCGGAGGCAACGCCATTTGCTGAACATCGTATTAATACAGGTGATCATGAGCCAATTACCTCTCCACCATACCGGTTGTCGTTTCCAAAAACGCTCGAACTTAAGGCGGAGATTGACAAGATGTTGACGATGAGAGTGGTGGAAGATTGCCGAAACGAGACGGTGGTGTGCGTATCTGTGCGGATTACCGGAAGTTGAACGCTATCACTGAACACGATAGATATCCATTGCCCAGAATGNGAGTCGGTGTGGACTTCACCGGTTGTTATGGTGCCGAAACGAGACGGTGGTGTGCGTATCTGTGCGGATTACCGGAAGTTGAACGCTATCACTGAACACGATAGATATCCATTGCCCAGAATGGATGACTTGCTACAGGCTGCGAAAAGTACGCGTTATATGACGACATTAGACCTGCAGCGTGGCTACCACCAAGTAAAGGTAAAGCTGCCAATGACCTCGATAAAACTTGCATAATAACTCCATTTGGACTCTTTTGCTTTACTAGAATGCCTTTTGGATTGCGAAATGCGCCTGCGACGTTCCAGCGACTCATGGACCGGCTGAAGTATTCTATGCCTGAGGTTCAAGTATGGGCGTATTTGGAAGACCTCATTGTGTATTCTGCCTCATTCCAAGAGCATTTAAACCATCTAAACACTATTTTCCAAAGATTGAATAAATTTAAACTGCGTGTCAATAGCACTAAATGTCGTTTCTGTTGCTCGGAAGTCAGGTATCTTGGGGGAGGGGAATGAAGAGCATCCCGTCGAATATGCAAGCCGTTTGTTGACAAGGGCAGAGCGGAATTATTCCACTACGGAGCGCGAGGCCCTCGCTATAGTCTGGGCTTGTGCCAAATACCGTGGTTACATTGAAGGTGCTGAGGCGGTACTGGCAACGGATCACCAAACGTTAAAGTGGCTCTTGGGTATGAAATCGCCATCTGGACGGTTGGTAAGATGGGCTTTGCAGATCCAGCAGTACAACTTTAAAATAGAGTATACTCCTGGAAGATCGAACGCCGTTGCAGATATGTTATCGCGACCACCCTGCGATGAAGGTGAAAAGTTTGAACCAGTATGATGGCCTTTCAAATAGACTTTCCACATAAGAACGCTTCTGATATGCGGAGTGAACAGCTTGAAGACCCCTACCTAAAGAACATCATAGCTTCGCTGGAGGCTGGTGATGAGAATGTTAGCCGTTGGGTTGATCGCGGGTACATTGTTAATGACGGAAGTTTGTATTGCTATGCCAATGATGATAGGGAAGATGCGCAATATGTTGCGCCCAAGCGGGAGCGTTCCCAAATCCTAAAGCTCTATAATGATGATTGCACAGCTGGACATTACGGAGCAGAGAGAACCATCGCAAGAATAGCGTCGAGATATTTCTGGCCAGGCATGCGAGCTGATGTCATGAAGCATGTGAAATCATGCATTGAGTGTCAACGCTTCAAAGCTGCAAACATGAAACCGTATGGTATGTTACAAACAGCGAGTAGCAAGCATCAATTTGAAATTCTAGCGGTGGACCTGTTCGGTCCATTACCACCAACCGAGGAGGGCTACCAGTGGATCCTGATTGCAGAGGATGTAGCCACGCGATGGGTCGAAATATTCCCATTGACGGAAGCCACCGCTGTAAACTGTAGTAGAATTCTGATGGAAGAAGTGTTTCTCCGCTATGGTACACCACGAAGCTTGAAGACAGACAATGAAGTGCAATTTGTGTCCGCCATAATGCAGCAAGTGACACATCACTTCGGTATTCAGCAGCGCCTTACCCCCATATATCACCCCGAGGCTAACCCAGTTGAACGTAAAAACCGGGATCTAAAGGCACAATTGGCAATACTTGTACAAACGCATCACAACACATGGGTTGCTAACCTGCCAGCGGTTCGTTTTGCAATGAACACTGCGAAGTGCAGAAGCACCGGCTATAGTGCTGCCTTTCCAACATTTGGAAGAGAACTCCGCACTATGGATGATATAGATCATGACGTCCGACCCATACTTACACAAGATAACTTTATTCCACAAATCTCGCCGTACTAAGAAAGCTTGACGAAGGTTTTAAAAAATGCCCGCGAAACCGAGCAAAAGGTTCAAGACCGAAATAAAGCTCGACAAGATCAGCACAGACGACCACAACCAGATTTTAATGTTGGTACCGAGGTTATGGTAACAACACATGTACTTAGAAATTTGTCCCTAAAAGGGATGACCCGTATGTCATCACTAAGAAGGTTGGTTCAACAACGTTTGAGGTAGCGTCGCGAGATAATCTCAACATGCCACTGGGAACGTACCACGTGTCTGCATTGACCGAATATAAGGGTACGAATGACGACGCTGTCGCAGCCCCAATTTATCCTCTAAGGAAGCGAGGAAGACCCAAGAAGCGCTAAGTGTTAGCGTGTTACCGGGGCGGCGTCCACACGCCAATGGGGGAGACTGTAGCAGCCCTAGTATTTAATTAGTATAGCAACACCTATGTTTGTGGTTTTTGCTTATAGCGCCATCTGTATCTAAAGTTATTTCTCTGCCATTTTTGTATTTCTGTCAAAAGTAGCGTGTTGGTTTCAGAAGCACAGTATGGGCAGAGAACGTTTAAAACAGAGAAGCAGCAACACGCTACTCGTTGGTATTTTGTAATAGATCAGAAATCGGCTAGAAGCTCACCACGTTAAATTTTTAACATCGATAGCTCTAGAAGCTCACCATTTTTTAACAGCGTGAGCGCAGAGCGGCACAAAATAACAGAATTCGAATAAATTAGCAATTGTGAAATGTTATTTTTGTGCACGTTTATATCTATCAACAAAAATGACTTTTGATAGTTATTTTAATGCCCCTTTCATTGAATTAAATCTAAAACATTAATTAGTTATTACAAACAATTTCTGGATAAATTTTGGGAAAACGTTATTTTCATAAAAATTCCAATTAACTAATATAAATTTGCGAAAATTTTGTAAACCATATTTTCGTCAACAATTAGTAAATTCTTCATTGAAAAAATTTTAAACACGCTAAAAGGCAAGCGCATAAAAATGTTTGTAAATACATATACATACCTATGTAGATGCATTTATACATATGTATGCACTTATGCAAATAAACAAATGCTGCGCGCGGTTAAAATTGTTTCGTTATTTTTTTGTATAAAAATATGGTTCATGCTTTAATCAAAACCACAAAGTCAAACTTTATACAAAACTTAGAAAAATTCAACAAATTTTCGTCTAAATTTTGAACTTTTTAATCTGAGTTTTTAGAATGATGGATCTGTAGAAAAGCAAGTGCAAGTTTTAAGCGGCTAAAAAATCGCGTAGATTTTTAATGATTTTTTATTGCGGACGGCTTGTACTTTTTACCATATACATAAAAGCGAATTTCTGTAGAATAAAATGCGCAAGACCGTTTGCAAACAAAATAAAAAAATAAACACTATATTTTATAAATTACACCTGTTATACCTATGCATAAAACCGCAAAATACGTCGGAAAAAATTCATTAAAAATTAAAGCGATCTTTTATCCGCTTAAAACTTTCACTTGTTTCACTAAAATTACATACATAACCAATTATCTGCGTACCCAAAACTTTCTAAAAATTAGATTAAAAAGTAGAAAATTTAGATGAAAATTTGTTGAATTTTTCTACGTTCTGTATAAATTTTAAAGTTTGACTTATGTGGTTTCGATTAAAGCATGAACCATATTTTTATAAAAAATAACAAAAAAATTTTTACTTGAAAAACATTGTAAATATTATACAAAAAAGAACCATGCAATCACTTTTGATTGCCCGTGTATGTACGTATGTGTGTCTAACAAATTATGGCTTGTTATCAAAATACCGATATTAACTAACAAACTTAATATTATATAGTACAAATGTGTTTGTAAAATTAATTTCATTAAAATTATTTCTGCAATCAAATTTTCTATTCATGCAAAAAGCCAAACGCATAAATTTGTACGTACATATATAACACATGCCTTTGTAAATATGTAGGTATGTAATGTATGTATGTAACATATATATGTACATACAAATGTACGATTGGTCGGCTTTCGTCTTCCCCTCGCCGCTCCCATCAACACACAAATTATTCAATTTCTGCGAATCGGCACCAGATTGGCACGTGCGCGAAACCATTAACCCCATGTTTGCGAAATATTTAGATTTTCGCATAAGTTTGCATTTAATAAAGCAATACTCGTACATTTTGTATGGTGAATAATATTAATTAATTTAAAATTCTGCATGTAACCATGTTCTCGACGATACATGTAACTTTCATAAAGATTAAACATAAAAATTGTGCTTCATTAACAGTTGCAACCAGCTGAAACCAAAAAAACTATGTCCGCTAATGGGTTAAAAACCAACTGGAATTGACATTTTTTACACGCATACATGCATACATTCATATACACATGTACAGTGGAGTAGCACTAGGTTGAACATTGCATTGCTTGTACTTTGATGTGTTTGAATCTTTTATGGTACTGAAGATTTGCTTAGGGATGAAAAATATTAAAAATCGTTCGTGCATATATGTAAATATATTTTTATAAACGCTTGGAGTATAGAAATTTTTAATATTAAAAAATAAATAAAATAATTTTTTTGTATATATATAAATTTTGTTCAAGGCACATTGACCCACCTGTACAAAAATTGTGGCGCGGCATGGACAAAAATTTTACAATTTCGGACCGAAAAATATGAAAACGAGCTAAGTTGCCACGTTACATCTGTGAACTTCCGATAAAACCACATATGTTTGTGATTTTACAAGTTTTGATTTTATTAAAAAAAAATTAATGTATTTTGCTGCAGAAAACATACACTTTTATTTAATGTTTATTAAAATGACACTTTAAAATACTAGTTAATGATTGAAATATTGGTATGGAACAGAGAAATAGAGTGTTTTGTCAAAAATTACCAAAAATTGCCAAGATTCGAGATAACTTATTTTACTGGTTATAGACCTGATAATCAACGGAATACCTCAAACAGCGGGTGAGTGTTTGCCTGAACTCTTTTCGAAGATTTGCAGTGCGGCTCAGCATAAACCTCCACCTTTGCGTGATGCTTTTCGGCTGCGGAATGCAAAAACTAATGGACAAAAAAATAGTAGTGTTTGTCCAATTGTTGTTAAGCTGTTCTCTGCGCCTGATCGTAATCAGCTCTTAAAATCGGTTGCTGTGTTCTGCAAGAGTAGAAAGAGATCTCTTGCGCTCTCTGACATTGAGTTGCCGGGTTACGGTTCTGTCTTTGTGCATGAAAGTCTACCAAAAAAGCTGCGTGAAGTGATGACATTTGCCTCTGAGCTCAGGCGGAAGAAGCAGTTAGCGTCGGCGTTCTCCTTACGCGGGAAAGTTTTTGTGAGGCTTAAGGCAGGTGAAGAGGCTAAATTGGTGAGCAGCAAAGCTGAAGTGAATGCTCTTATCGGCAGTAGAGCGCAGAAATAGTAGCACTAAGTTTATATATGTTTGTCTGGAAATTTGTTCTTTATGCTATATTTAAGTTATTGGAGTCATTTAGTTATGTATTTTTTTCTTTCTCTTTGCGGCCAATTCTCTTAAGTAGTTATTTGTTTACCTTTTTGTTTCTATGTCTCAGGCTATTTTTCTTGACTTATTGTTATTTTCATTTGTTCTCATTTTTCCTTTTTTTCTTGTTTAATTTAACATATTGCAATCACATCTTTTACATGCATCTGTGTTTCTGTTATGTTTTTCATGTGTTTAATGCCATTTTTAGTTGTTCCTTCAACTGCTCAGTGTGATGGATTTAAAGCCCTCTAGGAAATCCGCCTTCAGCATTAATGAAAACCAAAAGGTATTATTAGGTATTTTGTGCAAGCAATATAAAGGTCTTAAAGTAGTGCATTTTAATGCGCGGAGCCTGAACAGCGAAAAACTGGATTATGTTAGGGATATATTTAGTGAATCGGATATAGATGTCATTTGCGTCTCAGAAACTTGGTTTAATACTAATGTTTCTGATTTTTACTATAGTATACCAAACTACAGTCTTACTCGTGTTGATCGAACAACAAAAAAGGGGGGAGGGGTTGCAATCTATTGTAAATCCACCCTGAAAATCAGTGTTTTAGCAACATCAAAAAACACTGATACAGAATTCATTATTGCCGAAATTTCAGACAATGTAACAAAAATACTAGTGTCCTGTGTATACAACCCTCATAGATGTTGCATGTTAGATTCGTTTTTTGTTGAGGTGTCTTTGTTTATTATTGAGTATGAGCGTTTTGTTATATGTGGTGACTTCAATGTCAATTTGCTTATGAATGACTCATATGCCAATAAACTACTGGATCATGTATCTGCTGCAGGTCTTGCTGTAGTTAACAAATTCATACCAACAAGATTTGCGCACAATTCATGTCCTAGTTTGTTAGACCTCATTATCACGTCAAGCCTCGACCATATTCTTAAATTTGACCAAATAAGTTTTATCTCCGACCACGACCTAATATTTTGTGCACTAGATGTAACGTTTAATTGTCCTGCTGATAGTGTTACTTCTATGTATCGTGATTTTAAGTCTGTAAATGTTAATGACCTGACTGATGATCTGTTAAATGTTGACTGGGATGCATGTTGGTTTGTTGAGTCGGTAGATACCAAACTTGACTTTTTAAGTAAAACTATGTCTGAATTATTTGATGTCCATGTTCCTCTTCGTACTGTTCGCGTTTTGAATAGCTCTTGTCCGTGGTATAATAGTAATGTCAGATCTGCTATAAAAGCTCGTAATAGATTATATGCGAAATGGAAAAGAACCAACACGGACTTCGCTTGGTTGCAATACAAACTTGCCCGAAATAAAGCTACCACCATTGCAAGACAAGCGAAACGGTTGTATTGTAACTCCAAGTTGAACTCATCACTACCATCAAAAGACTTATGGCGCAATTTGGAAAACCTTAATGTGCATGGAAAACATAAAACTGAGTGTAAAATTGACCCTAACATTCTAAATGATTATTTTACTGGTGCCTGCAAAAGCGGCGACAGTTCTCTAACTCAAAACTTCAATAGCCATTTTGCACTGAGAGAAAAGTT